ATAATATTAAAAAATGTTAATAATGATAATAATAATAATAATAATGATAATAATAATGATAAAACTTCCACATATGCTAATGTTATCTCACAATTCCAATCATCATCTAACATTTAGGCTTCTCCTTCTTCCTTCTTACAGTTGTGGCCATTCAAAAAGGTTATCGCCATGGGACTGACTTCTTCCTCAAGGAGGAAGAATGGCAAGCTAGTATTAATATTTCTGCAAAAGATTTTGCTGAGAATGGTTTGTGCTAACCAAATTTTTAACTCTAAATTATACAATATCTTGTTTTGAATTTTGCCCCATTATTTATTCTTTTACGGTTAATCAACAAGCAAAATTTAACTGAAAATGATGTCATAGATGAGAAGATACTAATGTCCAGATAAGTCGAAACCCATCGTTAATTGCACTGTTAAACCCACAGAAAGTTCGAGGTTAATGACCTAGTTGAGACGTTAGAGGAAAACTCGAAAAATGTGTAAATCACTTGCGTCTGGCTCGTGGCGGATTTGGAATACGTGTAAAGCTGGACTGATATCATGGTATGGGGTTATACAGAGGACATTTTAACACAGGCTATTTTTTTTTGTTTTTAGGGTCAGTGGTTGTTGGGTGTGTGTACAAAGATCTCCATGAATTACTGCTGAGAAACAAATCCATCCGGAAAGAAACTGATGGTCCAAGGTGACATTAAAAGATAAAATTTTCAAAGATTAGTTCGTGCCTAACGTGTTTATATTGAATGGCCCGCGTTTTTTGAGTGCGTCTGAAGACAATTTCCAATTGTCAGGTTGCTCTTTAAACTCTCAAAAAACACAAAAAGAACTTACTTTTTGTGTAAAAAATATTTTAGAAAACGGATTTTAGAAAGCGAAGTTCTCCAATATAAAGTTAAGGGGTACCACAATGCATTACCACAATGCATTGCCACGAAGCTTTACAGCATACTGAGGTACGGTTACTGTAATAGCAACATGAGTAATTTTTAGAAGGATTTAATTTTATTTACAGGTACGTGAACACTAAGATAGTGACAGCAGCTATGAATCCCAAGCCCGAACAACTACGGCAAGATGTCATCTTGAGGTTTAAAAACCTGGAGGTAGCAGTATGAACATCGAAAGATAATTTCAGATCGTCTGTGTTGTGTTGGTTGGCTTTTAAGAGAATAACGTAATATAAAAATATTTTTATAGGTTGTTGACAAAATAAAGCATTGCGTGTTTTGGAGTGGCTTCAAAATAAGGTAAAGCATTTCTATGATTTACGATTGGTTGAAAGAGCATATTTCATCAGAATACAAAGCTCGTAGCTAAAGTTTTCGCATTATTTACCAGTTTGTATGATGACCGAGAATTACTACTGCGTTTCCCCCTACACTTCTCTCGTGCTCTGATATTGATGGTTTTTTTCTCTGAAATACCAAAACAAAGGCAGTGAAAACCGTAATTGATGTTTGAAACCTTGATTTTTTTGTATAAGATCATCATTCTCATTTGTAACATAATTTTTTAGTCCAGACGGGTTTTCAGAGAAGGGTTGTTATGTGGATCCATCGAATAGCAATTCCGAAGAGACAGTTTGCAGCTGCAGTCATTTGACTCATTTTGCTGTCTTAGTGGACTTCAGCGGTGGCACAAAGGTAATCTTTTTCTTAAGTTATTTTCAAGTAATAGGTCCTTGTGGTCAATTAATGTATCGTCCTCTTTTTTATGTCTATTTGCGCCACAGCTCTCCACCAAGGACATAACTATTCTGGAGATCATCACGTACGTGGGATTGAGCCTTTCTATTATCGGAATGCTATGGACAATAACTCTGTATTTTTTCCTCACGTAAGTATTGTAATCAAAAGATCGGGAAAATACATGAATAGATACATTTTTTCACGCCGACTACGATTGGAAAGGCCTAGGTGTTAATTAGAAACTAAATCTGCACAGCAGGTTGTGGGCGTCCCTCGTTATCATTGACTGTCCAAGCTCACCTACGTACTGTAACTAATCTCTCTTGCTTCCTTCCACGTGGTTTTTTTTTTTTTTTTCTTTGTTTTTGTTTTTTGGTACTGTATATTGCTTTTATTTTACCAGAGATGTCCGTCAACCTCTGTCTCAAATACGCTTAAGCCTTGCCGTGGCTTTAGGAGCTGGACAAATAATATTTCTTACTGGAATAAATGCCACAGAAAACAAGGTGGGCAGCTTTTCTGTTTTGTAGAATATATTCAAAGATTTATAATCGAACAAAACAAAATAAATAACGACATATGTTGCTGTTTTCGTTTCCACTTTGCGTAGGCTGTGTGTGTTACAGTAGCAGCTCTTATGCAGTATTTCCTGATGGCTGCTTTCTGTTGGATGCTGGTTGAGGGAATTTATCTCTATCTGTTTGTTGTAAAAGTTTATAACATCAACACCAAGATGCACATGTATCACGTCATGTCATGGGGTACTTTGTTTTTACAGCTAAACTTACCTGATACATTCACTGTTTTAAATTGTGTTTTTAGATATATGAATCATTTTAAGTCACTTTTTTTCTGTAAAAATTGTACAATAGGTTTGCCCCTAGTTATGGTGGCCATTTCATTGTGTATCGCTGCTGGGAAAGAAGGGATAAAAAGCTATACCAGTGACAAACTGTAAGAGGCGCAACTTTCTTTCTCTTTTTATCTTCTATTTCTTCTCTTACATTATTAATTTTGTTTGCTCAAGTTTTGGCCTTTTTTATAATTTGCTTTGGTATCCTTACTAACTTTTCTCAAACTCCTTCTCATAAGGATGTCAATATTGTCAATTTTTACAGATACTCTGACCAAGGGTGGGCAGAGAAGAGAAAGAGAAATTAAAATGACCAATCTTCCAAACACTTTTAATCAAATTATTATTTAGTCCATATATTTACTTTTTGTCACATTCCCTTTTTTCTCCATAATCTTCCCTTCCGATTGTTACCCTATTCTTATCATCACATCATCACAAAAATGCAGTATCATTTAATTTTATTTCAATTTACATTTCTTCATTTTAGTTGTTGGATGTCGTCAGAGAACAATCTGATTTGGATATTTGTCACATTCGTGATTACAATTGAAGTGGTAAGTTTCTGATACGGGTTATTCATTTTTCTCCTCATATCATCGTCGGTGATTTTAGTATTTGACTTGAAATGTGCAACACCCATACCCTAATGCAAAGATTTTCAATGATTTCCTCGCTTCAAGATCAACTTGGTTATACTCGTACGAGTCATTAAGGAGATGACCAGTATGCAGCCAACAGGAGACAAGCAAAGTCAACAAATACGGTGAGATAGAGCTTTTATATTGAACAGAACTGTTTTGATGTAATTTTAATAGTTTAAGTCTAGCTGCCTCAAGGTTTTGTTGAAATTGATCAGGTTAGCACAAATGTTTCTAAGGGTGATATGCATTCTATTAACCCGCATGTTTTCGCCCCTCAGAATTGGCATTAGAGCATGCGTGGTGATGATTCCCCTTCTGGGTGTCACGTGGCTATTTGGTCTTTTGTCGCCATTACACAAAGCTTTTTCCTACATTTTTAACATCCTCAACTCTACACAGGTGAGTATCAAATATTATCATCTCATAATTTTATACATTAACTTATCAGTGTCTAGATCACTTTATACTATAGTAAACATAGAAAGCATCTTCTGATTGGCCAATTCCGTTTCCAAGCGGATGCTTAATCAAGTTATAGCGTTTGGCATGGGATTTATGAACTTTCCTCGCGTTGTAACAATATCCCGTATGGCTTTTTCACGTTTAGTAGGGCCCGGGAAATGCGTTCTATCGCTTAGCTATAACCAAACATTTTATTGTGATAATATGAAACTTGTAATTTTAAACCAGACAGAACAGAATTAAATTAAAGTTAAAACAAAATAGCGATTCCCCTGTTTATGAGATTCTCACGACTCCAGAAGTAATTTGATTTCTTTGTTTTTTTTTTTTTTTGAGACCTATTAAAAAAAATACCTTTTAATGCAGTTATCTCTAGTCATATCACAAATCACAATTTATCTGAAAAACAACTTTTTTTTTTAAGGGTTTCCTGATTTTCGTTCTTCACTGTTTGCGAAACAGCCAGGTAAGTTAACTTAAAAAATCATACATATAGTGTAGAGAATGTGGTTTTCAAACTTAAATATGCACTGGAATTTTTTTTCTTACTTTACATGTCTATCTGCAGATTCGAGAGCGATTCAAAAGAAAGGTGAACACCATTGTCCCATCTACAAACAGTGGAAACTCCACAAAGAAGAGCTCACAGATTAATCCAAGCGATGTTGGTGATATGTGGGTAGCTGAATTGCAGTCTTGCAATGAATTTGAGCTCAATGAAAAACCCTCAACATGAAAGAATAGATTCGACAGACCGAGTTCAAAAGTGGACTGTCTCATTGTTTGATACGATCATTCTGAGTACGGTAGTTAATCTATAGCGATTGTTTGTTTTCGATCTGTTATGAAAATGTCGGTAGCTGCGATTGCACCTTTAGCTGGGTAAATAAATCGTTTATAAGATGTTCGTCACTACTGATATCTGGATCAAGGAATCTAATTCGATGATAAGGCAACTTGCCAAAGTCGGTAGCCTCTAACGGTTTTTTTTTTTTAAGTTAAGTGCTAGAAATGTAAATTTTTAAAACTAAAAGTATGTAATTTTTGGACTATCGTATCAATATGGGAAACTTCGCCTTAACTGCGAGCTAAATGTTTCGTGAGTAGCTAGCTTAGAGGCTGGCTGTCGATCAAGGTTAGAATTATTTACAGTCTGTCCTTCACATATTAGTGTATCCGTTCCTCTTATGACTGCCCCAAACTATTTAGTTGTAAAGTGGCGGCAATTTATATGATGCATCATGTCGAGGCTGATTATGTCTTCAAACAGTGCTCTGTTTAACTTTGATTGTGATACACACTTTATTGTCTCGTCTTTGAATTCTATTATGCAATTTTTTTTACTAAT